TAATGAAAACACATAAACATTGTAAAACTGGAGCCCCCGGTGGCACAGTGGGTTAGACCCCTGTACCGACAGGACTGAAGACCGACAGGTCGCAGGTTCGAATCCGGGGAGAGGCGGATGAGCTCCTTCTATCAACTCCAGCTCCTCATGCAGGGACATGAGAGAAGCCTCCCACAAGGATGATAAAAGCATCAAATCATCCGGGCGTCCCCTGGGCAACGTCCTTACAGACGGCCAATTCTCTCACACCAGAAACGACTTGCAGTTTCTCAAGTCACTCCTGACACGACAAAAAAAATTGTAAAACTACCACAAATACACATATTAAAATGTATTTTAATACATATTTAATACATATTTAAAAAACACAAAACAGATTAAACAAAGAACAAAAGTTTAAAATTCATGCTTGAAACTGGCTTGGTAGGCCTGCCAGTTTTAAGCATGGCAGTTCAAGTGGTGTCAAACTGGAGTTCTTCTACAGTGTAGAAGTTGCACCCAAGGAAGAGGCGAGTGAGGAAGCTGTTTATTTATTGACTTATTTTTATCCCATCACAATTTGAGGAAGCTAGCTTCAAATTACATTCGATTGCCATGTAGATGGGGCCTTTGACTAATTCTTGACACACACCTTACATTAGAAAGTGTCAGATCAGACCTAATAATGAAATAACGTAAATGCCCCCCCGCAGTGGACAACCTTTCACTTTCCCTAAACTGTCTCTTCTGACAGGTTTCTGCTCACATAGAAAGAGTCTCAAATTTGAAGTTTTATGGTTTGTGAGAGGTGCAAGAACTTAGGATGGAGGTCTTGTTGTAGCCACTGTGTCCCCATCTACACTGATAATGTAATTTCAAACCAATACTGAAGAAAGTGTAAAGATTGCTTACACAGGAAATTCTGGAAAGACTTTGAGGCCCAGATGATGACACCAACCACAGAGAACTTATGTACATTAAGGCTTTCTTTTGCATGAGTTTGAAGAAGCTAGTTTAGGTCCAGGTAATTTGAAGAATCATCCCCTCCCCCTCCCCTCTCTCCCCAAATCTGTCAGATATCTATAATCACAAGGGGAGGGCCTTCTCTCTGTCCCTCCCTCTGCTCAAACCCATTTGGTGGGAACAAGGGACTGGGCCTTTTCGGTGGCTGCTCCCACACTGCAGAACTCCCTCCCATGAGAGACCAGGATGGCCCCATCCCTGATTGCCTTTTGCAGGCAGGAATCAATAACTTAAACATATTTCTAGTTTAAATAAAATAATTTAGAACAGTGGTTCCCAAACTTTTTTTGACCAGGGACCACTTGACCAGGGACCACTTTGACCAGGGACCAACATTTGTACCAAAAGGGTTATGAATCAGTTTTTGGTTAACTTTAGATTTGGTTTGATTATTTGGGGTGCTGATTCAGAAAATTGCATTGGATAGACTACATCAGCTCTAGTTTCTGATAAAAGAACATATGCCAGTCATCAGTCGCCATCTCCTCACCCACAGAAAACCATATTTAATAAGCCTTGGCACTATAAAAGAATTTTGCGAGACTAGTTGCTCTCGTTGCAACGGTGTAGTAATGGTGAGGCCGTGGACCATATTTTAGTTCTCGTGCACCACTGGTGGTGCATAGACCATAGGTTGGGAACCATTTATTTAGAAGTTCTTCCTAATGTTCAGGTGGAATCTCCTTTCCTGTAGTTTGAAACCATTGTTCGGCGTCCTAGTCTCCAGGGCAGATGAAAACCAGCTGCCCTGGTTTTCAGTTGCTGGGTTGCTGTGAATTTTCCAGGCTGTATGGCTATGTTTCAGAAGCATTCTCTCTTGACGTTTCACCCACATCTATGGCAGGCATCCTCAAAGGTTGTGAGATCTGTTGGAAACTAGGCAAGTGGGGTTTATATATCTGTGGAATGTCCAGGGTGGGGGAAAGAACTATTGTCTGCTTGAGGCAAGTGTGAATGTTGCAACTGGCCACCTTGATTAGCCTTGAATGGCCATATATTTTCAAAGCCTGGCTGACACCTACACACACAAACACAGATTAAAAAATCCCTAAAGGCTGCTGTGAGTTTTCCGGGCTGTATGGCCATGTTCTAGAAGCATTCTCTCCTGTCATTTCATCCACATCTATGGCAGGCATCCTCAGAAGTTGAGGAGTCTGTTGGAAACTAGGCAAGTAGGGTTTATATATCTGTGGACGTTTGCCCACATCTATGGCAGGCATCCTCAGAGGTTGTGAGGTCTGTTAGAGACTAGACAAGTGGGGCTTATATATCTGTGGAATGTCCAGGATGGGAGAAAGAACTCTTGTCCGCTTGCGAAGCATTATCTCCTGTCATTTCGTCCACATCTATGGCAGGCATCCTCAGAAGTTGAGGGGTCTGTTGGAAACTAGGCAAATGAAATACACTTTCAGGGCTAACGCCCCAATGTTTTTTGTTTGGCTCCCTGTGCCCCTTTTTGGAAGATTTCACTTCACTTTCTGTCCCTGTGAGAATTGGATTTTGAATTGGATTCCTGAGGTGGGTTCTGTAGGTTTATAATTAAGTTGAATGTATATGTCAGTCAGTACTGGTACATTTTTGAAGTGTAATTCCAGGCAAATAAATAAGCTTTGGATAGCATAGAGAAGGGTTGACACCTTTGTGGTATTTGTTTTAATGCAGGGATCCTCAAACTAAGGCCCGGGGGCCGGATATGGCCCCCCAAGGTCATTTACCTGGCCCTAGCTCAGGGTCAACCTAAGTCTGAAACAACTTTAAAGCACACAGCAACAACAATAACAATTCTGTCTCATCAGCCAAAAGCAGGCCCACACATCCTATTGAAATACTAATAAGTTTATATTTGTTAAAATTGTTCTTCATTTTAATTATTGTATTGATTTAAAGTGTTTTTTGCACTACAAATAAGATATGTACAGTGTGCATAGGAATTAATTCATGCTTTTTTCAAATTATAATCCGACCCTCCAATAGTTTGAGGGACTGTGACCTGGCCCTCTGTTTAAAAAGTTTGAGGACCCCTGCCTTAAACTCTTAATAACTGCCTCGGTTCTCTTTTGGCAAGATACCCTCCTTTACTTCATGCATTAAATCACTACTCACTGAGAGGTCATGACTTCAAAGCCAGCCTGGGTCGGAGTGAGCTCCCGACCATTAACAGTCTAGCTTGCTGTTGACATAGGCAGCCCAAAAGACAGTTGCATCTGTTGCGTTTTTAAATGCTGTATGTTATTGATATTGCTTATTGCTTATTGTGTATTTTTTGTTTTTGAGTTTTTGTTTTATTTTATTTTAACTGTTTTGTATTGATTATTTGTTGTCGCCTTTGTTTATTGATGTGCTGTGGGCTTGGCCTCATGTAAGTCGCACCGAGTCCCTTGGGGAGATGGTAGCGGGGTACAAATGAAGTTTTTTTATTATTATTATTATTATTGAGTAGGAAATTTAGGTACCGTTTTATGTGGGGAGGCTAATTTAACTAATTTATGACACCATAAAACCTTCCAGCAGCGTGCGTAAGAATGAGGAAGTACTCCATCAAGGACTCGGTGTCACAAGTGGACGGTGACACCCGAGCTGGAATGTTAAATTGCCTCTGTGTCTGTCTATATGTGTTGTACGTCTAATGGCATTGAATGTTTAAAAAGTTTGGTGACCCCTGTTTTCGTGTCTGTGCTCCTGTTCAGAAATGTTCGCTCCTGTGCAGGTACAGCTGTACCAGGAACTTCAATTTTGTTTGCTTTGTATTGAATGTTTGTTGTAGTCCTGAGTTTCAGGGGTTCTGTAGATAGGTGACTTCTTTTGGCTGCAATCATAGGGCAAGCCACCTGTCAATTATAGTTAGGTTCCCTGGTCCCGCCCCCTTTTGGGTTTTGGAGGGAATAGGAGCCAGTTTGGGTTCAGTCCACACAGCGAAGCCTTTCATGCAGGACATAATACCAAGAGCTCCTGTAGAAAGCTTCGTCTTCTATAGCTTGGCCAGGGAGATATACAGCCCATGGCTTGGCCGGGGAGATATACAGCCCACAGCTTGGCCGGGGTTGTAAAGCCCTACAGTTCCTTTGCTGAGGGACTTCAGCCAGCCATCACCGAAACCTGAACTCCTTTTTCCCTGGAAGTCTACAAAGCTCTGCTTGGTAAGGGTCGCTTGCGGAAGCCAGACACAGTTGGTACCGGGTGCAGGGGCAAAGACAGACTGCCCAGATTAGAAGTTAAGGATTTCCCCATTAGTTAAAATACCAGTCATGAAGATAGTGCCTGTTCCCTGTGGACAAGATTGAAAGAGCCTATAGACTGTTAAGAAAGCTTTAAAGTACCTGTTTGTTTTCATTAATAAAGAACTCTGTTGAACCTTTAAGCAATCTAAAGACTCTGTTTTAAGGAAATCCAAGGGCCTTTAATCTGAGGCCTGTTGGGCACACAGAATTTATGTCCTGTCTACAGTCTTATGCACAGGCCCAGCGTGCGACACCACAGTATTATATTTGTTACTTCTTGTATTGCTTGTATTGTGGGCTCAGCCTCACGTAAGCCACACCACGTCCCTTGGGGAGATGGTAGCGGGGTATAAATAAAGTTTTATTATTATTATTCACCCCACTTTCTGTCCCTGTCGAATTGGATTCTGAAAGAAATTGGGTGAAAGCTTCAGTGGGGACACCTTTTCTCCATGATGATAACTCTTCCAGAAGTGTATTTCCTTTCCAAGAGGTAGATTCTTCTCACTTCCATACACACAAATATATACAGATATATATACATTAGGCAGGGGCAAACTTGGGCCCTCCTGGTGTTTTGGACTTCAACTCCCACAATTCCTAACAGTCTCAGGTCCTTCCAATTGAAGTCCAAAACACTGGCTGAGGGGGGAAAGGAAAGGGCCTGAGGCTGCTAGGAATTGTGGGAGTTGAAGTCCAAAACACCAGGAGGGCCCAAGTTTGCCCCTGCCTGATGTGTAACCCCCTCCCCTCCCCTGCCCTGCCCGCCTTGCTCCTTACCCGTCCTTCCGCCGGGCTTTGTAGACGTGCCCGTAGGTGCCCCTCCCGACTTTGCAGCCCTCGTACTCGAAGAGGTCCTCCACCCGCTCGCGCTCGGCCGCCAGCTTGGATTTGAACTCGTAGTCCATGTCTCTCACCCATGGAAGGAAAGCGCGGGAGGAGGACGACGAAGAGGAGGAGGGCGAGGAGGAAGAAGAGAATGGAGCTTAGCCGAGCGCGAAGGCTACCATTTCCTTGGTTTTTTTGGAAATATATATAAATATTTATATTGTTTTTGTTTTTGTACGTGTATTATGAAGGGGGAAACACTTCGCTCCGCCGCCCGCTTCAACCAGGGCTTCCCAAGCTGTTCAGGCTCGCAAGGGATCCTGGGATTCGTAGTACTCGGAGGAGGCAGCGCGGGCAGGCGCTCGAGGGAGGTCGAGGGTGCGGGGACTACGATTCCCGGCGGCCCTCGCGGCGCGGTGGCTTCCCCCGCGCCTGCGCGTTGCCGCCGCCGCCGCGCACCCCCCTCAGAGTCATTCCTGAGCGGGTGCTGGGAAGTTGCTGACTCTTCATGTTGCGGAGCAGCGACGGAAGAGTCGGAGGGAGGAAGGGGAAACGTGGAGCGAGACCCGGGTCGGGCTTTTATTATGATTATTATTATTATTATTATTATATGAACCGCCGAGCAGGATTGATGGAGAGCCTCGCGCTGCAGCTTGTTTATCTCCTGAGCTGTCATTCAAGCTTAGGCCCCGCCTCCCACTCTTTCGCCCGTCGCCATTGGCTCAAACCCGTCCCGCCTCCTCGCGCTTGACCACTGAGGCCGCTTCGAGGACGAAACTGAAGCGCGGAGCTACTTGTCAATCAATGGAAGAGGCGGGGCTTTCAGAGGCAAGGGCTCCCTCCCTCCCTCCCTCCTTAGACGTAAAGCTACGAGGCTTCTTCGTGTTTCCCGCCCTTCCCCCTCCCCAAACATTCTGAGAATGGCTCTGGTCACGTGGTGGCCTCCGCTCCATTCCCGAACCCGCCCCCCCCCATTGGCTGCTTGCTTTGACATTGCTCAGTGATCGCGATAGGTTGAGCGTCCCTTATGCTAAGCAGCATTTGGGGATAGATATTTATTTATTTATTTATTTATTTATTTATTTACTTACTTACTTTGCTTATATACCGCTGTATCTCAAGCCCGAAGGCGACTCACAGCGGTTCACAAACAGTAAAAACAGTAGAAACAACAGTGGTTATCTGTGTTTACATTAGATAACTTGCAGATGGGACCCGTGTCTAGGCACGAACGTCGTGAACTTGAAGGTAATCTATGTATATTAAAATGCTCTGTGCATAATGAGTACCTTAAAAACAAAAGAACCAATGGACGAAATCACACCAAATTTGGCAACAAAACGTCTCACAACACAAGGAGTGACCATCACTCAAAAAATTATGATTTTGTAATTTGGGAGTTGTAGGTGCTGGGATTTATAGTTCACCTACAATCAAAGAGCATTCTAAACCCCACCGACAATAGAATTGGACCAAACTAGGCACACAGTTCTCCCATGACCAACAGAAAATACTGGAAGGATTGGGTGGGCAATGGAGGAGTTGTAGTTCACCTCCATTCAGAGAGCACTGTGGACTCAAACAATGATGGATCTGGACCAAACTTGGCACAAGCACTCAATACGCCCAGATATGAACACTAGTGGAGTTTGGGGGGGAAATAGACCTTGACATTTGGGAGTTGTAGTCACTGGGATTCACAGTTCACTTACAATCAAAGAGCATTCTGAACCCCACAAACGACAGCATTGGGGCAAACTTCTCACACAGAACCCCCATGACCATCAGAAAATACTTAAGGCCATCCAATCCAACTCCCTTCATCAGGGCAAGAAAACGTAATCAAAGTCCTCCTGACAAAGAGCCATCCAGCCATAGATAGAGAGAGAGAGAGATAGGGAGCTGTGGTTGCTGGGATTTATAGTTCACCTATAATCAAATACCATGATTAGAATTGAGCCAACCAGGGCATACAGGACTCCCATGACCAACAGAAAACACTAGAAGGGTTTGGTGAGCATTGACCTTGAGTTTGAGAGTTGTAGTTCATCTACATCCAGAGACTACCATGTTCTCAAACAATGATGGATCTGGACCAAACTTGGCACAAATATTCCATATGCCCAAATATGAACACAGATGGCGTTTGGGGGAAATAGACCTTGACATTTGGGAGTTATAGGTTGAGAACCCCTGGCGTAGCGGGTTAAACTGCTGAGCTGCTGAACTTGCTGACCGAAATGTTGGTGGTTCGTATCCAGGGAGTGGTTTGAGCTCCCGCTGTTATGCCCAGCTTCTGCCAACTTTGCAGTCCAATCAGTGAATAAAGCTCATAGAAAGAAAATGAAGTCATCTGAAATGTGTTGCTGGAGAAGCGTTCTGCAGATACAGTGGACTACGAAAAAGACTAATAAATGGGTCCTATTGCTCTAGAACGCTCCATGTAATGGCGCTCCATGCAGTCACACTGGCCACATGACCTTGGAGGAGTCTACGGACAATTGAAATTGAGATGTCCATCACCTCCCAGAGTCAGACACAACTAGATTTAAGGTCAAGGGGAAACCTTTACCTTTATCTTTTATTGCTCTAGGCAAGCCTGAACCCTTCCATGATGACTAAACTGTGACTGGCCATGTCACAAGAAGACATGGCTCACTAGAAAACACAATAATGCTTGTTAAAATAGAAGGCAATGGGGGGAAAGGGAAAACCACATTACAAATGGATTGTCTCAGTCAAGCAAGCCACAGCCTTGAGTATGTGGACTCGAGCAGGGCTTGTGATGGAAGGGCGTCTTGCAAGCCTCTCATTCATACTGTTACCATAAATTGGTGCCAATGTGAGGGCAATAAACCACCAGAGTGACCTCTCTTTCTTCCCATAAGGACAAACGTGTTAGGGTAATGCTGGGGGTGTCCTGAATGAGAAACCTGTTGACTTCCAAACCAACCTAGATAAATAATTAATGTCTCTGCTGGTTTGCCCCCATCTCTTTCTGGGAGTTTCTGCTCAGCTTTGTCACTCTCAAGGCATTAAGAAATGAATCAAGACATCATAAGAGGCAATCTGATGAAGCATTGGACTATGACTGGAGACCAGGGTTCAAATGAATGCCCTCTTAGTTATGGAAACCCACTGGGTGACCTTGGGCAAATCACACATTCTCAGCCTTGGGGAGACAAACTCCATGATAGGTTTACCTTAAGGCTGCCATAAGAAACAAAGGCACAACAACAACACATAACATCTGCATTATATGGAAATCTCTCAATGTAATACTAGTGTCAGTTATCAAGCACAAGAGCCACAATGCTTTCCCCTTTCCTTCCAGAAAGGTAACAGACATTTTCATTTAATGTAAATGTGAAAAAACCCTCATACATCAAATGGTGGTAATGGAGGCAAGATAGTATTCATTCTTTCCTTAATATATAGGATCCTGACAGGCCCGTAGCCAGGATTTTGTTTCGGGGGGGGGGGGGGGGCTGAGTTTGGTTCGGGGGGGCTGAGTCTGAGTGAAAGAGGGTCTACCCTAGCAAACCTTTTGTATCGTTACCCCAATACCCCCATATATATGGGATATATTGAGTATAGTGATCAGATCATGATATGAATAAACATAGCAGTTTAAATAATGCACCAGTAAGGCCTTCTCGCGACCACCATCAGAATTTCGAGGGGGGGGTACAAGCCCCCAAGCCCCCCCCCCCTCGGCTACATGCCTGGAACCTGACTATGTATACATAGACCAAATGACAAGAGCAAAAGGCTGAATTGGTTAAGAAAAGTGGGTCAAGAAAAGTGTCTTTTTCTCCCAACACAGGCTAGTGTACCACAATGGCATTTGTTACTTAAATGCAGGTGGATAAACCATCTTCCAAACCTTACTTCAGCTATATAACACTTTTCACGAATAAAATATGGTATAGTGCAGCCTTATGTATGTCCACTCAAAAGCAAACCCTGGTAGCTGATGAGAGGCCCTCCCTCCATTTCAGGTGCCACTACTGGACTTTGCAGGGAGAGAAGAGGAGGCCGTATCTGCTGGACTTAATCTCCTTCCCCACTGCTGACCCCTTTTCCTTGTCTGTTGCATGGTATTAAGCCTCCAGACAAGAAACAGATGATTGATTGATCGATTGATTGATTTATATCCCACTTTTTTCCCGTGGGTGGGATTCCAAGTGGCAAAAAATGGTTAAAAAATAGCAGAAATTACATGACACAGAAAGCAGAACATCACCGCTCAAATTAACAGATAAACAACACATTACATAAACCATATCTAACAAGCATAATAAATACAACACATACCATTAAAAATTCCCTGGGCCTCAGGCCATTGAGGTTAAAAAACATTATAATAAGATCCTAGAAGCTCCACTTTTTTAGGCCATGTAAATATCGCCAAGTTCAAAATAGCCTTCAGTGATGTGCCTTACCAATAGCTGCCTGGTCATTGCCTATTATAGGTTATCAGAAAAGGCCTGATTCCACAAAAGGGTTTTAACTTGTGAGCGAAAGGCCAGTAATTGCGCCTCTTTGGGAAGGGAGTTCCAGAGCCGCAGGGTCACCACCGAGAAGGCCCTCTCTCTCTTTCCCATCAACAGCACTTGTGACAGCAGTGGGACTGAGAGAAGGGCCTCTCCTGATGATCTCAAGGCTCGTGTGGGCTGGTAAAAGGAGATGCAGTCCCTCAAGTAGGCTGGGCTCGAACCATGTGTAGCTGCAGTAGCGGAGTTCTTTCCCCATATCCCACCCCCATAAGCAGCTTGGCCACTGACCTTTGTTGTTTCCAAACACTTTTATGGGGCAGCCCCATGTAGAGCGTGTTACAGTAATCTAATATGGATGTGACTAAGGCATGTACTACCATGGCCAGATCAGGCTTCTCAAGGTCTGGGTGTCACTAGCCTCCTTCCACAAGGACCTGAAGACCTGGTGGTTCCAGCAGGCTTTTGGAAGTGATTAGCCCCAGGTCCTACCCTGGCCATCAGTTAGATCCCCACTCTGTACTCTACCCACATACCTGGCCCTCTGCTACCTCATTAGCCCTAGCCCAGCCCTATTACAGCTATTCAACAGGCCCTGGAAATGACCATTAGTTAGAGTCTTGTTCTGCACTTCACCCACTTCCCCGGCCCTATGTTTCCCTATTGGCCCAGCCCTCTCATATCTGTGCAGCAGGCCTTGGAAATAAATAGCTCCAGGTCCCATCCTGACCATCACGCAGGATCATGCTTGCACTTTATCCACTCTCCTGGCCCTAGTCTACTTTGTTGTACTAGCCCAGCCCTCCCATAGTTATCGAGGCCCACTCTGGAATCCTGGACATTGGTAACTGAACTTGCCCAATAG